ATATATATATTAATAATGAAATTATTTTAGAATTATGAAAATTTATGCCAATTTTGCAACATTAAGATTTTTCCAAATTCTTATTTCTATAATCCGAAAAGTAAATAAATTAAATTAAATTTTCCCCAAAATACAGTAATGACCATTATAATTCTTTGCATTACAGAGGAAAATCTACATAATTGCCATTAAAATAATACAAGTAATGTAATAAATAAATAAATAAATCTTAATTGTCTACAAAAAAGGCCAATTGTCATTACATAAAATATTATATTTTCTTCCCTTTGATTTTGAGATGAAAAATGACCCAGTTTTTGTAAGACTGACCCACCTGCTTGTGCGATTTTAGGGCTTTTTTGTAAAAAGTCAAATTGTACATTTAACATATTTATACTGAAATATCTGTATACAAAGTGTGTATATGTTAGTCGGGTTGTGCTATTGATTAACTCTAGGACACTCAAACACTTATTTTTAGTACAATATTTCATAACATTGGCATAGCGATTTAAGAATTGTACTAAATATTTATTTATAAAGTTTTTTCTATGAAGTAAAAATGCATATAATGCAGTTAATAATACATGTAAACGTGAATACGTAAAAGTTAATACATTTTAAATTGTTATTGTAAGTAAATTAATAAATCAAAACAAACTTAACGTCTCCCTCAATCTCATTTGCGTAAGAATTGTCACGTGACGAATCTGCATTTTGGTGGAGAATAGACTTAACTGTAATGCTTGCCTGTTGTGTGGAATAAAATGATGTTCCGCGTTTTTAACAACATACACGAATTGCAGAGAAATCTGGAGACAACGAAAAACTCTGATGAAGATATTAATGCCGTGCTTAATGATTCCGGACCCGGACAATCAGATAAAGGTGATCCACAGGATGCAGCAGGTTAAGTCGCACACTACTTTTATGCCGACCATTTACATCCAAATGTTATTTAATTTTCACAGAAGACAACCTTTAAATAGATTTTAGAATATAAACTGTTTATCGTCTATTCAGTAAGACTAAGTAAAAAGTGTGCACCTCATTGTGCATTAACTTGAATCTAGCCCAACAAATGTCTGTTTTAAAAACAGTGGATGAGTAATTCACTCCTTGATTTGCTTAATAAAAGCCTCCTTTGAGATCGTTTTGACAGACATGTTTATTGTGCATTTTAAAAGTGTTTATTGCCAAGTTTAGTGTGGCAAAATAGAAGTGCCCTACATAGGCCTATTGTTTGTTTCGACAGTTCGCCGTGACGTCACAGTCTTAAACCTTCGTTTGAATTCATTAGTCTCTTTCCATGTAGCTCTGACAGCGCCGCGTGTCATTTAAGTGCTTGCACATATATCGATCAATAAAATATCATATTTTCAAAGTATACACGTGTCTTTTTGATCTCTCTCCCTCCCTCTCTCTCTCTCTCTCTCTCTCTCGCTCGCTCTCACTCTTGCTCTTTGAAATTTTAATTTTAGTTTCTATTCAGTGGCACCTCAGCGGCAACATCAACCTCTGAGCCCCGTTTTTCTCGTCTAGTATTTTATTTTCCTGTTCCTGACCCCTTTAAATCCCGGTTTGTAGGCTATATCCAAATGTTTTTCAGCCCGATCTGAACCTGTTTTGTATCAATGACATAATTTCTGACAACATATTCTGAAGCCTACTCTATAACTGAGCGATGTTTGCAATAAACCAGTCACGCCCAGAACGCAATTGAGTCTTCATGTCTTTCAGCAGACATGTTGTAATTAATGCTGCTTTTTTTAATTAGCTGTCTTATTATTTAGATGCCTATTAAGCTGTCATGAACATTTCCTGGTCTCAGCCGCACTGAACCCCTTCATTTCGTTTTTGTGCCAACAATGGCAATGCTGCCTTTGAAACTGCCTTGAGCTCAAAAAGTGAGTGCTTTATTATTCTTTTAGTTCGGTCAATGATGACTCGCTTTTCATTTTCAACCGGCACGGCTGTGCGCTTATTGTCGTTGTGAAAATAATTCTTCTTCTTTATGCAGCTGTGTAACCCCACGTAGCCTAATTGAAATAAACCCGCGGCTCGACGCAAACCCGCAAGAATTTAAGTGCACTTAATTAGACGTGTCTTGACTGAAAAATAACAGGCTTTCGCAGCTGACTGTGTTCTCGGTTTCGGCCTATAAGTTATACGATCGCGTCCATTTAATATCCCACCTCAAAATCAATTGCAGTGCGGGATACATTGCCTTACAGTAGTGTGGGAAGGCGGCAGGGGGCGTCGACTACCACCTGCAGGTGTCTTTACACCCACCCCTCCTCTTTATTCTATCACAGGGCTGGACTTGTTCAGTAATGTTGGGAAATTCATTGGAAATTCGAATGAACGGATCGTTTCAGAGAATCGATTCATTTGATTCATCACCTCAAAATGTTCCTCAAAGATTCTTTTTTGTTGTGAAAGAAATGTTTATGCTTACATTACGTTTTTGCTGTAGATTTTTTTTTTTTTTTTTAATTTAGCAAATTTAATTTGATGCCCAAAATGCTGTAGTTATTCAGCTCTTTAACAAACGTTTTATTGTTTGTCGCCAACATTTCATTGACTTACGTCTGAAAATGTGCACAAAACACACCAGTCAGATCTATGGAAGCCCGTTTCTGCCACTGAATAAAAATAATACATTTTTATCTGAATAAATTTTATCTCACAACTCTGACGTTTTTCTCAGAACTGTGAGAAATAAACTCAGAAGTGCAAGAAAAAATGTTGGCAATGAAACTGCTGAAAAGTTATGTACTCGGAATTCTGACTTTTTTCTTACAATTCTGAATTTAAATTTCGCAATTCTGACTTTTTTTCATCAGAAGTCCAAATTCTAACTTTTTTCCCCTCTGAATTTTGAATTTACATCTCACAATTCTGTTTCTTTTGTTGTTGTTGTTGTTGTTTCATTTTTTTATTATTTTTTTTCCATCACGTAAAAATAAATTAAGTAATTGCAACTTTTTATTTCACAATTCCAAGTTAACATCTTGCAATTCTGAGTTTATATCTCTGAATTTTTTCTTTCTTTCTTTCTTTCTTTCTTTCTTTCTTTCTTTCTTTCCCTCGAATTTCACGATAAAACGGCAGATTTGTGAGACATAAACTCAGAATTCCATTCATGCATTCATTTATTTAGTAGGCTATTTTTATTTATGGGCATATTATTTATTATTTACGGGCATTAATACAGACCAGAATTGGAGAAGCAAACCATCTTACGCTCGTCTTTCATCAAGGAATGCATTGTTTCTATTACAGAAAATGTTGCGAATCGATTCCTCCAAATCGTTCTAAGGAGCCGATTCAAAAGAACGACTCCGTCGCAAATCGGACATCACTATTGTTCAGTGAGAACGGGACAGTAGAGAGACAGTCAGCACAGGAGCGCACAGCAGCAGCACTGTGCGCTTTGTCCCGCAATTACTACAACAGTATTTACTGTTCATACTATACTAGCTACTTAGAGGGATATTATTAATTATGCATTATTAATAGTGCGTAAAGACATGAGCACCAGAAACAGATCCCCACCGGACTGATCAATAACACACATCCTCTTTCATCAGGACCACCGGTTTTAAACCTGGACGTGCGTTTGCGTGTTCCCTAAACAAGTGGATTTAATTCTCTATCCTGCTGTTGTAGAGAGTCGGATGCGTTGAACCGCTGTGTGAAGTGTAGAGCATCAGCGTCAGTGGACTTCATCCTCCTCAGTCTCTGGATCAGGACACAATGGATCTGACAGCGGTCGCGCTGCTCGTGTCGCTCATCTCCGTGTCTCTGTCAGCGGATAACGCGGGCGGCAAAGTGCGGAGCTGCGCGGATGTGCGCCAGTTCTACAGCGGCAAAGGCTTCACGTTAAACGGCGTCCCGCAGTCCGAGATATCAGGTATGAATTACCGGTGACAGAGGTCATTGTTCCCGCCGGTACAACGGTCTCATTCATATTCAACGCTGTCGTTTCTCTGTGTATTCACTAGATATGTTTATGGAGTTTATCTACCTCACGAGATTAATAATATCTATCTATCTATCTATCTACCTATCTCTCTCTCTGTCTTGCCTATCTTTTTGTCTGTCTGTATCTGTCCATTTGTGTATCTATCTATCTATCCATCTATCTATCTCTCTGTCTGTCTTGTCTATCTTTTTGTCTATCTATCTATCTATCTATCTATCTATCTGTGTATCTGTCTGTCTATCCCATTGTCATCTGCGATCTGCCTGTCTTTTTGTATTTTTTGTTTACCATCAACAATGTTTAGCTTTTTTGCACCTGACACGTTCCTCTTGCCTCGTGAGGTGTGTATTCTTATTGTCAAGTTCAGGAAGCGCGTGAACAGATGGAGGATCCCAGACAAAAGCTCTACTCGCCGCACCGAAAAGAACAATAGACAAAACTGTAACTGCTAAAACGGGGCTACACCTGGCCTAATGTTGTTCACGAGCGACTTCCCCGTTAAAAATGACCTTTCGGTTCATTCATCAGTTCTATACACACACCCACCTGATGTCTGGATCCCCATGTGGTGTGAAAGAGCATGTGCTGGAGCTGATCTCCAGCAGTATGTGGTCCCTGTAGGTCATGTTATGATGAACACGGTGCCGGCCGGATTCGTAGATTTCCCTCAGGGTTGCAATTTAGGACTAAAAACCTCACTGTAATTGTAATATATGTGGATTGTCTGCAATTTGTAGTATTAATAAGGAGTGGTGGTGTTATTAGATATACGTACGCCAGTGTGAAGTTAGTAAATCATGTCATTTGATGAGCAAATCTCATGATTTTCTTTGTCATTTGCAAGTAACAAGCAGCAACTGAAATCCGTGCAGTCAGCAAGTGATTCATAGCTGCAGCCAGTGATTTTTCATATTCTCATTAGAGGCCAAAAAATGTTGGCAGTCTGTGAATCTGTCCAATGCATGCTGAGTAGTATGAAATCTGCCATCAATCTTTATGACACAGCCATATTTATGATAAGAGGTCGCACATTATAACCGGTAATATGTCACCAATCAGTCTGCATAAACATGCAATTATATCAGTGCATGATGCGCTCCCAGTTTTTTTTTTTTTTCCCAGAATTCCTCTGGGATCGATATGTCTAATTGTGCTGTGTGCCCAAGAAGCTAAAGGAGATAAATGATTGCACATGTGCCACACTGACACGCATAAACAAACGTAAATAAAGCAGCAAGGAAACACAATTTGTACAACATCGCCATTATTCAGTGCACTTTTTCTGTAAGACAATGAAAATATATCCGTACAATATATATTCAGCACTTCCAGTTCCACCCAAAAACACCTACTGTACACACAAACATCACCTCAGCAGCCCCCTTCACTACTAAGTGTTTTTGAGGCATTGCATACTTTGGCATCCTCAGCACATTTGAGAGGCTGAGAGAAACAAAGAGTTCCTATTGGCCGAGAGGAAATTCTCAAGGTCATCGCCTGCGGTCTAAATGACAGAAGGGGGAGATGAGGAAAATGTAGCATGTGCCGGGCCGCCCACCGCCGTCTCGTTTGAGACCGTCTCAACATCTTTTATTCATTGTCCAAACCGTAGGAATAAGTTGTTCGTTTAAAAGCCTAAAAATGGTTGGAAGCAAGATTGTGTTTGTCTGCTTGAAGTTCAGGTTTATTTCTAGAGATGCTTTATAAGTTAGTGGTTAAATATAAATGGTTTGAAATGTTGAGTGATTGAGCTGTGTTTAATTGTATTTTTTTAAATAGTTTTTTTATTTAATGTTAAATTATTTTACTATATTTTGATACTTGACAGTTATTTAAAAAATAAATAATATAATGACTATTATGGAATGTGCTGTATTCAAACTCAATGCCTTTCAAAAGACTTAATTTTTATTGTGAAACAAAAAAGGAGATATTTATAGCATGATGTCTGAGCTGCTCTTTTCCATACAATGAAAGTGAATTGGAACTAGGGCTCTTAAAGTGGTAATTCACCCAAAAGTGAAAATTTTGTCATTATTTACTCGCCCTAAAGTTATTCCAAACCCCTATGAGTTTCTTTCCTCTTTTGAACACAAAAGAAGATATTTTGAAGAACCAAGCAGTGGATGGTCCGCATTGAGTTCCATAGTATGGAAAAAATACTATGGAAGTCAGTGGGGACCATTAACTGTTTGGTTACCAACATTCTTCAAAAATCTTCTTTTGTGTGCAACTGGCTGGAAATAATGTAGAGTAAAGAGTAAATAATGACAGAATTTTCATTTTTGGGTGAACTATCCTTTTAAGTAAGATTTTCTGTAAAATAAATTTCCATCTGTTCTTCATTCACAGCTTGAGAAGACTTGGAATATAGCGCACACGTCACTTGAACTACTTTTATGATGATTTTTGTGCTTTTTAGAGCTTGACAGCCCCAGTCCCCATTCACTTTCATTGTAAGGTGAAAGTGCAGCATGAACGTGCTTCAAAACATCTCCTTTTGTGTTCCACAGAAGAGAGAAAGTCACACTTGTTTTGAACGGCATGAGGATGAGTAAATGATGACAGGATTTTCATTATTTGACTGATGTAAAATGGGTTGCAAACAAAATTCAGTGACGAGTTTTATTAGCTAATTTGTATTAATTTGCATTTGAATACTACTGAGATTAAGGCATTAAACAAAATTTGACTTTCAATATAAATTGCATGATTATATTATTTTACAAAATTCTGACAACAGACAATAATTTTCACAGAATATTGTTGTAATGTTAACAACACGTTGTTTGAATGTTGAATTTATGTTCCAGGTAGCTGTCATCTCCTCGGATTATTACAATAATTGTTATTTTGAGGTCACTTTGACGGGTGTGACCGTGATACCCACATTGTGCATTCTGAGTTGAAGGGTTTGAGGTTTCCGCCACATTTTGTTTTAGCATGTTAGCGTGTTTTAGAAAGAGCTGATCTTAAAGCATTACCTAAAGGTCAGAGAGGAACCAGAGCTGAATGCTGCTGTCTAGAATTACCGATGCAACTAGTGTGTCTGCCATTTTTACGAACACAGAGGCAGCGTATTGTTCACTACGTGACACTTCGAGCCCTGCGGTGACTCTAAACAATGACAATCTCACATTTCGCTCAAGTAGGCCATGAAGATGGGAGTCGGCTATTCGTGCGATCTCGCATTTGTTTGCGATCATAACTTAGTTATTTTAAGAGATTTATTTCCAGGTTTTGAAAGCGAGATCTAAGTGTCCGCAGTGTTGATGGATTTGTGATGTTTGGACCTGTAGTCTGGTTTCAGACCTCAGCTTTGGCTCATGTTTGCTGCTCTTCTATACAGCGAGGCACACACCCATGAACCCTGTGTGAAATGAAAGCGGCACACACCCATGTTCTCAGCCACATTGCCACACGCACATCCAACCCCCATACAACCCTTGTGGAGGCACACGGGCCTGATTTGGTTAAGCTTTTTGCATATATTAGAGCCGTTTGCACATGCAAATTCAATAATACAGTCGTTCAGCTGAGAGTGACAATCAAATTCGCTCATTTGAAGTTGTTTAATTAGTTTTACGCATTTAATTTCTGTTTGCACGACTGTCACGAATTTTAATCCAGTGGTAATTCCTCACAAATGGAATTATTAGACAAGAACTACCAGATAAATTATGAAGTATGAACTGATCTAATATATAATTGAAATATCATTGATAAATGTGTATGTGTGTGCGTGTGTGTATATACATATATATATATATATATATATATATATATATATATATATATATATATATATATATATATATATATATATATATATATATATATATATATATATATATATATATATATATATATATATATATATATATATATATATATATACACACACACACACACACACATATATATATATATATATATATAGATAGATGCTTTATATGATCTAAATTAACAAGTTTTATTCAATTTAAAAATAATTTACTGTAATATTACTGAATCAACCTGGCTATATTAGTTTAGATTAAATTATTAGGTATAAAGTTATTATCGTATTTAATGTTTTTATATATTGAGATTTAGTATATTTTACACAGTGGTAATGTAAACTAAAAAACTGGCTATAATAGTTTAGATTAAATTAAGTAGAAACTTAATTTTAATTACTATTAATAGTATATTATACATTCAAATATGATTTAGTATATTATACATATCAAATATATTATTAATTATAATATTATTTATTTAAAAATCATATTTATAATCTTTCATTATTATTGTTATTTAATAATTAATATGATTATATTTATTATTATACTTGATTAAATTATTATTATTATATTTAACATTTTTATAAATTAAGATTGCAGGCAAAATGTTCTGTCATGAAAACCAAAAATGTGCTTCATCTGACAACATTTAAATTAGTTAAAAAGAAATAAGTTTTAATTCAAAAATAATATTTACTGGTTACATTAGTTTACATCAACGAAAGTCTTTTTAAAGGTTAAATCATGCAGAAATAGCTCCATGTTATATTAATCATAACTGCACATTTCACCATACCAGTTTTGAAGTTTGAGGTTGTGCTAATGCATACAGTACCAAGACATTTGTGCCGAATGCTCATGTTTTTGCTGATGAATTGTTGACTCGTGATTATCTGAGCATAATTACACCTTCTCCCACACAGTTTCTCTCCCTCTGGTCTGCTGATTGTTCTTTTGAAGTGTGGGGGTGTTTCTCAGCGGGGGTCTGCAGTGCGCCGTAATGCTTGTTAGAGCCGAGATCATGCAGATCTGATCAGGGCTGAAACATGCCACCGCACTCTCAATCTTCCACCCTCATGCCCTGCCACTGATCGCGAATAAAAGCACAGCTGTACTCAGAGGTACACGCAACAGCACCTGGAA